ACATCATTAAAAATAAAATATTTTCTTATTGTTAATGATTCATCAAGTTTTTTTTTTGTGATCAAGATAAAAATACAGATTTTTTTAAATAGTTCATTTAATTAGTGATCAAATGTCAAAATTGTTGAATATTAATTAAGGTACTTTAAAAAATCAATGTCATAGCATGAAACTAATAGTGAGTTTCTTGATGCTGAATTGACTTACATGTAAGCACGCATCGTGTGCTCAAAACGCTAGTATTTAAGTGATGTAAGTATGTAACAACTACTTGTATTTTAAATTAGAGGGAGTAATGCTAAATGTAGAAAAAACGGTACACCACTACACTATACAGTACATGTTAAAAAGAGGGAAAATGAAATAATCAAAGAAAAAACAAAATTAAAGAATTAAGTGACACTGTGACAGAGTGATAGGACTGAAGGTGAAAGGATGTTCTTTTTCCGATGAAGTGAAAGGTTGCTTCATCATCAATCTTTAAAATCATCTTCAATTTTCATTTTCATCTCATTTCTTCATCCATTTTTTTTAAAATAAAAAAAGAAAAAAGCTTGAGTTGAATAAATAATTAGGAAGTGAGTGAGAGAGTCATGGAAGGAAAAGGAAAGCATCCGGCCGTCAGAATAGACTTGGGGACCACCTACTCATGCGTGGTTGTTTGGCGGCAAGGCACCGTGGAGATCATAACAAACGACCAAGGCAACCGTACGACGCCGTCTTGTGTTGCTTTCAACCTGTAGAATTTCTAGAAATCAAGCTCACAATATTATTAACTACTCACATGAATATTTATAATACATGGAAATCTTCCCAAATCTCCAACGAACTATATCTTATGATATATCATATAATCTAGGAAAGAAAATATATTTTACCCAAAATATATCCTATCATAACTAACTAAACATATACTCTAAATTTCCATGCGAACCATTCTGGTAGGGTTGATGCCTCCAATTTCCATGTGAACCATCTGTCATGCGATCAACTCAATCACCAGACCTGGCTGCTTTAGGGAAAACGTCGGACGACTGTTCTTGTCAGGCAAATGTCAGACGGCGGTACTTGGTGAGCGGAACCTAAAGGGGCTTGGGCTCACCGTACCGCCGTTTGATATTTTCCCTTCTTGAGCTGCCAGGCAACCTCCTTCTTCAGAGCATTACATTCTTCCGTCAAGTGGCCATAGTCGGTGTGGTATCTGCACCATCTACGACTCTCCTACAGTGCATCTAAACGTCGGACGACTGTTCTCGTCGGAGTCAGCATTTGCCCGACATTTACCCAATCCGAGTCTCCGTCTTCCAAAGAGTACCGTGTCGGCCGAAAGGGAGCGACGAAAACAATAAAAGCAAAAAAGCCACGAAAGCATTACATTCTTGAGCTGCCAGGCAACCTCCTTCTTCAGAGCATTACATTCTTTCGCTTCATTAGGGCGCTCCGACTTCTTTGGCCACCTGACACCTCGACAACGAACCATCTGTCATGCGATCAACTCAACCACCAGACCTAGCTACGACTCCAGCAGTACATGGACAGACCCTGATACTCCTAAAGCAGTACGTGGACATCTCCTAAAGGCAACCTCCTTCAACTTCCAGGCAACCGACTTCTTTGGCCACCTAACACCTCGACAAATCTCCTAAAGTGCATCTACGACTCTCCTACAGTGCATCTAAACGTCGGACGACTGTTCTCGTCTTTAGCCACCTGACACCTCGACAAATCTCCTAAAGTGCATCTACGACTCTCCTACTGTGCATCTAAACGTCGGACGACTGTTCTCGTCGGAGTCAGCATTTGCTCGACATTTGCCCAATCCGAGTCTCTGTCTTCCAAGGAGTACCGTGTCGGCCGAAAGGTAGCGACGAAAACAATAAAAGCAAAAAAAGCCACGAAAGCATTACATTCTTCAGCTTTCAGGCAACCTCCTTCTTCAAAGCAACCTCCTTTGGCCACCTGACACCTCGACAAATCTCCTAAAGTGCATCTACGACTCTCCTACAGTGCATCTACGACTCCAGCTTCGTCCACGTTAAAGCAGTACATGGACAGACCCTGATACTCCTAAAGCAGTACGTGGACATCTCCTAAAGGCAACCTCCTTCAACTTCCAGGCAACCGACTTCTTTGGCCACTAGACACCTCGACAAATCTCCTAAAGTGCATCTACGACTCTCCTACAGTGTACTAAACGTCGGACGACTGTTCTCGTCGGAGTCAGCATTTACCTCGACAAATCTCCTAAAGTGCATCTACGACTCTCCTATAGTGCATCTACGACTCAATCTTCGTCCACGTTAAAGCAGTACGTGGACAGACCCTGATACTCCTAAAGCAGTACGTGGACATCTCCTAAAGGCTACCTCCTTCAGCTTCAAGGCAACCGACTTCTTTGGCCACCTGAAACCTCGACAAACCTCCTAAAGTGCATCTACGACTCTCCTACACTGCATCTACGACTCCAGCTTCGTCCACGTTAAAGTAGTACGTGGACAGACCCTGATACTCCTAAAGAAGTACCGTGGACATCTCCTAAAGGCATGACACTGTGACAGAGTGATAGGACTGAAGGTGAAAGGGTGTTTTTTTCCGATGCAGTGAAAGGTTGCTTCATCATCAATCTTTAAAATCATCTTCAATTTTCATTTTCATCTCATTTCTTAATCCATTTTTTTAAAAATAAAAAAAGAAAAAAGCTTGAGTTGAATAAATAATTAGGAAGTGAGTGAGAGAGTCATGGAAGGAAAGGGAAAGCATCCGGCCGTCGGAATAGACTTGGGGACCACCTACTCATGCGTGGCTGTTTGGCGGCAAGGCACCGTGGAGATCATAACAAACGACCAAGGCAACCGTACGACGCCGTCTTGTGTTGCTTTCAACCTGTAGAATTTCTAGAAATCAAGCTCACAATATTATTAGCTACTCGCATGAATATTTATAATACATGGCAATCTTCCCAAATCTCCAACGAACTATATCTTATGATATATCATATAATCTAGGAATGAAAATATATTTTACCCAAAATATATCCTATCAAAACTAACTAAATTTCCATTCGAACCATTCTGGTAGGGCTGATGCCTCCAATTTCCATGCGAACCATCTGTCATGCGATCAACTCAACCACCAGACCTGGCTGCTTTAGGGAAAACGTCGGACGACTGTTCTTGTCGGGAAAATGTCAGACGACGGTACTTGGTGAGCGGAACCTAAAAGGGCTCAACGAGTACCCGCGCTTACCCAAAAGGGCTCACCGTACCGCCGTTTGATATTTACCCTTCTTGAGCTGCCAGGCAACCTCCTTCTTCAGAGCATTACATTCTTCCGTCAAGTGGCCATAGTCGGTGTGGTATCTGCACCATCTACGACTCTCCTACAGTGTATCTAAATGTCGGACGACTGTTCTCGTCGGAGTCAGCATTTGCCCGACATTTGCCCAATCCGAGTCTCCGTCTTCCAAAGAGTACCGTGTCAGCCGAAAGGGAGCGACGAAAACAATAAAAGCAAAAAAGCCACGAAAGCATTACATTCTTCAGCTTTCAGGCAACCTCCTTCTTCAGAGCATTACATTCTTTCGCTTCATTAGGGCGCTCCGACTTCTTTGGCCACCTGACACCTCGACAACGAACCATCTGTCATGCGATCAACTCAACCACTAGACCTGGCTACGACTCCAGCAGTACATGGACAGACCCTGATACTCCTAAAGCAGTACGTGGACATCTCCTAAAGGCAACCTCCTTCAACTTCCAGGCAACCGACTTCTTTGGCCACCTAACACCTCGACAAATCTCCTAAAGTGCATCTACGACTCTCCTACAGTGCATCTAAACGTCGGACGACTGTTCTCGTGGAAGGAAAGGGAAAGCATCCGGCCGTCGGAATAGACTTGGGGACCACCTACTCATGCGTGGCTGTTTGGCGGCACGGCACCGTGGAGATCATAACAAACGACCAAGGCAACCGTACGACGCCGTCTTGTGTTGCTTTCAACCTGTAGAATTTCTAGAAATCAAGCTCACAATATCAAATGGGCTCAAGAATTACAATGGGTCGATTCCTCATGGAAGAATTTCTCACTTATTAATACTACTCTAAATTAATTTTTTTTTTCCTTCCTGTTGTTTATGTATTTTTCTGAATTGGGATTGTTGGATTAATAGAGGAAGAAGAAGGTAGTTGTAAAACCAAATGTGAAGAACCAAACGGGGGGTAATTGCCGAGGAAGGCTTTCGAACCCGCGGCGAGTACCAGCGAAGCCGCCGCCGCTGCGGTAATTCCTAGGACTACGGTTGTGGTCCACCACAGGACCATTAAAAAATCAAGAAGGCCGGTGTTGTTGGTGGTGGAAATTGTGGTCTCGCCATTTTTATGGAGGAGAGAGAAAATATGAGTTGCTGAAAAAGAGGAGAGAGATGGTGGGTTGTTGAGGAGAGAGAAAGAGAGGAAGAAATGATGGGTTTAATATCGACCATTACAATCTATTTTCTAATATATTTAACCTATTTTCTGACAATTTTAATATAGTATTTGATATTTATAATCTAATTTCTTACTATAATAATCTAATTTCTGACCATTATAATGTAAGATCTGATTATTATTATCTAATTCCTGACCATTAAGATTTTTTTTCCCGTTTGTATGACCGGACTCACGTGAGTCCGTTCTACACAAAACTTTTATTTAGTGTTTATAATTTTTTTTTTATAATGTATCAGTTTAACTGACACATTTGTCAAGACGCAACTTTGACCATTAATATCTTTAACTCTCTATTATGGAAGAAGTACTAAATAACTAACAATTAATTAATTAACAACTATTTACAGCGAACCTAGTCAAAATACAACTAATTATATCAATTAGTTACCAATTAAACGGGATCTTAACCATTATGAGATCTAATACATAATGGACATACGTTATTATATATCATAACACAAGTCAATATATACTTTAATATACCATTATCATTCTAAATTATGTCTGACCATTTTCTCATGCGAAATGACAAATACCCTGCTATAGCGAATTTGCGCCAAATAACTTGACATTGGACATCGTTATACGCTTTTTTTTGACATTCAGCTACCAAGAACAAAATTTTGACTTGGCATTCTAAATTATGTCTGACCATTTTTCTCATGCCAAATGACTATATTTGACATTAGAGAGCAACCACGCCATCCCACTCACCTACCAATTCTCTGAAAAAAAAATAAATAATATTTATTTATGTTTTTTGAGCATGTACTTACCTACCAACTTAGTGACTTACCAATAATATTTTATTACAAAGGCAAATCTATCCTCACTCTCTTTTTTTTCCTACCTAGATTTATTTTATAAAACCATCAATAAACAGCCCCTTGGATTCAAGAATTTTCTACATCTTCAAAAAAAAAAAAAAAAAAAAAAAAAAAAAGGCCCCTTGGATTCACCCTCAAAACCACTGCTTCAAGAATTTTCGACATCTTCTTCTTACCAACCCCACAAAACTATACATATATATACACAAAGCTCATAATTGCAATTATATCAAACATTTTAAGTAATATATAATCAAAGATCATTACATACCTCCATAAGAGGGCAAATATGGGAACACACTCAAAAAATATGTCCAAAACTAATTTTCTTAGCAACCTAATCCTTCTTGCCATTTTCATCACTGTACTAACATATTCATCAACTAACCCAAAATTTTCCCTATATCTTGCAATATGTTTACCCATCATATTGTACTTGGTCCATTCCCTATTCTCTTCCCATGCACAAAATTACGAAAATACCCCTCCTAGTCCATTTGCCCTCCCCATCTTTGGCAATTGGCTCCAAGTAGGAAATGACCTAAACCACCGCCGATTGGCAAACCTCTCTAAATCCTATGGCCCCATCTTCCTCCTTAAGCTCGGTGTTCGAAACCTAGTCGTGGTCTCCAACCCTCAGCTAGCATGTGAGGTCCTCCATGCACAAGGGGTGGAGTTTGGTTCCCGACCTAGGAATGTTGTCTTTGATATCTTCACTGGAGGCGGTCAAGACATGGTTTTTACTGTCTATGGTGATCATTGGAGGAAGATGCGGCGTATAATGACGTTGCCATTCTTCACCAACAAGGTGGTGAATACTTATAGCAATATGTGGGAAGATGAAATGGACAAGGTTGTTAGAGATTTGAAGCAAAATGATAATATGATTGGCATCAAAGCGAAAACCGAAGGGTTTGTGATTAGGAAGAGGCTGCAACTTATGTTGTATAACATAATGTATAGGATGATGTTTGATGAAGGTTTTGAGTCTATGGAAGATCCCAAGTTTATGGAGGCAACCAAGTTTAACTCCGAAAGGAGTAGATTAGCTCAGAGTTTCGAGTATAATTATGGTGATTTTATACCTTTGCTTAGACCATTTTTGAGGAGGTATTTGAGCAAGTGCAGAGACTTGCAGCAGAGGAGGCTGGCTTTCTTCAACAACTACTATGTTGAGAAACGAAGGTATGACATTACATGCCACCTTTTTCTTCACTTATAAGTATATTACCAATTTACAATAACTTATCAATGAGATAAATTTTAGAATTTCCAAATTGAAAGAAAACAATGACAGACTTTTGCTATACACACTATACCATCACCTAATAATTATTTAATGTAAATGAAAATCAATATGAATTTAGTTGTCACATATTCACATAACTAGTTCAACCTTGACAATAAAACCGGACACAGTAATGAGTCTATTGACTAGTGTTTATCCATAGAAAGTTCTTTAATAGCTTTTGGAATTACTCGTATTTCCTGCTTATCAATACTGAGCTAAAATAGAATATTTTAAGCGAATTCGGGTTTTAATAAGTAAATAATCTATACCTAGAACTCACTAGAAGCTCATTTTGTCATCATTCATGACATGCTATATTGCTATGTATATAAAAGCGTATAATAAAGAAATAACAAGTATTTAGCCTAATGAGCAAGAATGAAAAATAGTATTATTGACAAAAACATATTGGAAAAGTATGCATAAATTTCTTCTAAAAGTCAATATGAGACAACTGATGCAATCATATATTACAGAAAAATAATGGCTGCAAATGGAGAAAATCACAACATAAGTTGTGCTATTGACTACATTATTGATGCCGAAAACAGAGGAGAAATCAGCAAGGATAATGTTCTCTACATCGTTGAGAACATTAATGTAGCTGCCATTGAAACGACCTTATGGTCCATGGAGTGGGCAATAGCTGAGCTAGTTAATCATCCAAAAATCCAACAGAAAATCCGGCAAGAAATCGCCACTGTGCTCAACGGAAAGCCAGTGACAGAAGCAAACCTTGAACAATTACCCTACTTACAAGCGACAGTAAAGGAAACCCTAAGGTTACACACCCCTATACCTTTGTTGGTACCCCATATGAACCTTGAAGAAGCTAAGCTTGGTGGGTATACTATACCTAGAGAGTCAAAAGTCGTGGTAAACGCGTGGTGGTTGGCTAACAACCCCGAGTGGTGGAAAAATCCAGAAGAGTTCCGCCCTGAGAGATTCATTGAGGAGGAAGGATCAACGGATGCAACAGTGGGTGGTGGGAAGGTGGATTATAGGTTCTTGCCATTTGGTGTAGGGAGAAGGAGTTGCCCTGGAATTATATTGGCGATGCCAATTTTAGGGCTTATAATTTCGAAATTGGTGACTAATTTTGAGATGAAACCTCCACCAGGAGAAGAAAAGATTGATGTGAGTGAGGAAGGAGGACAGTTTAGTTTGCATATTGCCAAGCATTCAACTGTCCTCTTCTCTCCCATATAATGGTTTATGATTTATGCGCCAATATTGCGCAGCTATAAGACCTAGGTTTATTTTGAGATCTTATACTGTAATTTACAGTTTGTTTGTAATTTGTTCTCAAGACAACATGTAAATTTCTAGTTTTCTCTGTAAGAGTTCCACATACTTCGTAATAAGGGAAAATGTTGTCATCTTTAACACTAAATGGGCTAATGTCATGAAATTATTCACCAAATTTTTAGCCTTGCCACTGCTCATATGTGAGATGTGTCAATGGCTCAATGCAAACCCTAGTGCATTACACAACGGTTTACGAGTTATGAGCCCGACATATCACAGTTTTTAAGACCCATTTTAGTCATAACCTGCTTGCGCACGGGAACCATTGACACAACTGTGGGGTTCCACAACCCAGACCATGCCCTGATCACTTGGTAAATTGTAAACATTGGACATTCAGACAACAATATACTCATATACTGTGTTTTATTGTGGATGTCTTTTTTATATCAAAATGGAAATTATGGTTTTTTTTTTTTTTCTTTAATACACCCCCTCTTCAGAGGCATCGGAGTAAAGGATACATTGACCGTTGAAATGGAGTAGAGAAGTTATGGAAGTACTTGACGGATTTAGCGACAACGGCTGAAAGAACGTGAAGCCACTCGCTAGAAAGCTCACCCTAAACTCCCTAAAGGGATCAAACACAAGTGAAAGAGAGACGGATAGTCATGCAATCATGCTCTTTGAACAAAATGCACAACATTTCAAGTACACAGACGCATGGGCACCGTGCCATTAAAATCCCATGCGTCCTACTTGTGTGCCCAACTCCTATTGATTTTGAAAAAATAAATCATTGGTGTAAGTGAAAAACGTAGCTTGCCTATGTACAAGTTATAAATTTTATCTACAACTATATTTTGTTAAATACATACTTGTAGAAAGTCGATGATCTAGAAGTTATCGAGACAAATCTAACAAAACAACATGGGGAAAAAAATAATAAAAAATAAAAAATCTTCCTCGTATAAAAAGATGGTCAAAGTAGAGTATCACAATCCAGTTTCCACCGACCAGTTAAGAATATCAAAAAGCTCATGGCCAAAAGCCCAAAACTGATGAACTGAGGGATATCAATTGATAAATATGGAGTATACATTCTTCTCATTGACGAGCACTTAACTAGTTCTGAATCTAAAATTATATAAAACAAAAACAAAAAAACCTTACATTTATACAACTGACTACAGTTTGAAGATTGGGAAAAAAATGTAAGATGACTTGAACATAGCAACTACAAGTATAGAGAGTTAGCAAACATAATACCTCGACGGAGGCTGGTACTGGCGTCTCCAAACTTGTTTTCCAGGTCAGTCTCTCCCACTGCAGTAGCAGCAGCTTTCAACTAGAAAAGGTAAGAAAGAACATGGTTACTTTTATAGTGCCACAGTAAATGATTAAATGAATGAGAAACTGTTACCAGCTTGACCCAAAAAGGCATATATTGAACAAATGTAACATTTCTATTGGGTATTCAGTTACTAGGAATTACACAAAGAGACTCGATAATATACCATCTACAACGAAACAAGGAATTTGCTGCTAAGTCAAGACTTAAAGATGGCCTTGGTCTCAATCTCCACAACACCAACAAACCTATATCCTCATTATCAAACTGAGGTCTAAACTTCACTCAATTAGTTTCTTAATTTGGAATTTGGGCTATTCCTCAAGCTCTTTTAATGAATCCTCTTAATGGCTGCTCAGGAATTGCTAGCCCACAAATGAGCTTCAGATTTTACATTATATGAAGCACACCTACAAAGTAAACCCTTTTACAAGATTTATTTCTAAATCATATCCTACATGATATCAACTGTTGGATAAATTTTGGTCGATCTATGCCGCTAACAATTTATGAGTAAAACAGTCTTGAAAAAATAATTTTTTCTTTATCAAAAGCAAGCATTTTCCAGTATAAACTTAGAAGCATACAAGCAGATATGAAACTACATCCCCTCAAAAAAAAAAAAAAAAAAAAAAAAAAAAAAAAAAAAAAAAAAAAAAAGAAACTACATCTATCAGGAAGGATGATGGAGCATGCAAGTTTACAGAAGTTCAACAAAGATCACGAACACACACACACACACACATATACAAGGAGGGATGGGGGGTAAAAAGAGAACTCTCAAATTTTTCACTCACCTGATTTAAGAACTCATCCAGTCTTCTCGCCAGTCTTATGATACTTCCCTCAAATATATCAGTCATTTGTATAACCTCAAAAAAATTGGATCCCTGATCAAATGCAGTATCAGAAACCAGAAAAAGGAAATCGGATATCAACATTCAGATCGACATGATAAAGAGATCAAAGAATATTGAAGAATATCCTTTGGAAGCTGCAGCAAATATTCACCTTACTTTGGGGGCAAGGAAAATAAGAGCATTAACTCCAAAAAAGGTCAACAATGATCAAACAGGTGATAATATCAAAATTAAAGGAATTGTATAATATCACGAAAGGTTATTCAGCACAAAATAGACCTAACCTTTGACCAACAGTATATCACATCCATCAAGTAGGGTCTGCAAGTTGACTCAACATACTCTTCCACGTTTACATCCAGGCTGCATTCATGTTGTATCTGAAACATAAACAGATTGTCAAATCAAGCAGCAGGAATTAAGGATAAAGAAAAGGTCTAAAGTTTAAGAAAAGAGCAGGAGAGAGAGAGAGAAGGGGGGGGGGGGGGGGAGTGACCTCTGCTATTCTTCTGGCACTGTCTTGGAGTTGCTGCAAGGGTTTTGCAAGTTCTGCTCGCAAATGAATCTGTTCGTTTGATTTATCACACGGGACAAAGCAACTTGCAAGAGCGGCAACTTGATGATGATCCAGATCATTAAATGTACCTGATTAATGTTAGCAAACAAAGTTAGACAGTGTGTCACCCTAAGTACACATGATTCGAAAGGTAAAACTGCAGTGACAAATAGATACCCCAGAAGCCAGTTAGACTGAGATCAACTGGGTTATTAGGTAGCATTGTATGAAGGGCCACAAAAGCATAATAGAAGGAAATGAGAAGGAAAAAAAAAAAAAAAAAAAAAAAAAAGTAGTAATCCATATCAATGATAAAGCAAGTAAATGACTCCATTAAGGGTAATAATATTACAATAGTATTCTCGCCCCTGACAATTTGTTAAGCTTGATATAGGATGTGCCATATTCTGGATACAGCAAGACACGCTATATGCATTACAAAGACCATATATTGGACACACAATGGGTACAGTGTACAGAAACCATCATGGGACAGAGACCGAGGGGTCTAAATCTATGTTGCCAGGACTCAGGTATGGGTATTGAGTACATATCCATGTGTCCGATACATTTTAGCATACAGAAAGTCCTGAAACCATCCTAAATTTGGACAGGGCTATGGGTCCCTCAACTCTGTATCCAATTTAGACCATACAAAACAATTTCTCATTACAAGCAACAGCCCTGTGAATCTTGAAAAGGAAGCTAAATTCAAGGGATACTAGACAAGAAAAACTAAAAAAGGGTAATACAAACTAGCAAGGACATATTTGACCTTTTTAAAATAATTTTCATTGATTTTCTCACACCAGATCCTAAACAGTAAAAAGAAGTACTCCAGAGGTACGTCTAAACGAACTTCCAGATAGGTAACCACAAAGCAGGAGACTCCAACTGACACATCCCACAAAAACAAAATTGAAATAAAAGCAAATCTAAGCTCATCATTAATAATTTCATTACGAGGAAAATGCCTACTTATGTTACTTGGACTTGGATGAAGTGTCAAATTAGACACGGGTGTCCAAGCATCGGACTCATCCATTTTCTTGGAAAAAGTTGTGTTTTTAGTTAAAAATGAAGTGTCGGTGTCCGACACGTGTCGTGTCGACACGGACACGTGAGGTAAATGAAAGAGTCCGAGTAACATAGATGCCTACACAATATAGCTGCAGAGAACAACCACTAAAAGTTTTCACACTAAATATAAAGCTGTGCATGGTATTATGAAGGTAGTGAGAGTTCAAGAAAGAAGTAATATAATCTGTATATATGAAGAGACACTGGCCAAAACATCACATACATAGTCCAAAAGAACTGCATTTGATGCGGGGCAGAATTTAAAATCAATTAGTCATAGCTCAAGTACTAGACCACAACTACAACCTAAGATGTACAGATCTTAGCCACATACCATTAAACATCAGCTCGGTAACAAGAAGTTCGTCTCCGGTGTCTATCAATGCGGCAGCCCGTCCCTTTAACTGGACAACACCATCAGCATCAATATGACCCAGCTTCTTCAAGACACGTGACCTATTTTTCAGCTCATCACGAAACTTTTGAAGCTGAAAAAAAATTGAAGGAAATATATACACTCAGCTCAAGTTTGTCACACATATTCCCTTAAAAGAATAGGAAAAACAAGCACTATGCATAAGTTGATGCTATATATATATATAATGACAGCCCCTTATACAGTTGAACTTCTGAATTATTAACCCTTCAGTACATGAAGCTGTAAAAGCGTATGGGGTAGAGGTTTTGGCGAAAGTTTTTTTTTTTTTTTTTTTTTTGGCCTTCTTATCGGTGCTTTTGTTGGGGAGGAGGGATGATTAGTTTTTCAATGTCCGCACTCATTTGGTCATTTGTGGGGAGAGTGCCATAATATTTCCTCTTAGAGCTCAATCTCATGAAAATTCCCTAATGAGTCCGTTTCCTACTTGGTAATTACTTTCTTTATTTTTTTTCCTCGAGTATTTTTTCTCTCTACTTTTCGACTCTACTAAAATCTTTGCAAAGTCTCATGGAGCAAATCAAAAGAGACTAATGGAGTAATAATAATATACAAGTACATAATTTTAAAAATAATCCCTCTATCCCCAAATAAAAATATCATTTTTTATTAAATATTGTTATCAACTAATTTGGTTTCATTTTTTCATTCTTCCATTCTCTCCCATGTGATACTTCTCCCATCTAACTCAAAAATAAATTAAGAAAATCCATTACTATTTTTTTTAAAATACCTTTAATCGACTAAACCCCAATTTTTTTCCTAACGAAGTGTGCACGTGTAAAATGGGACATTGAATTCTGGACAGAGGGAGCAGTAAAAAATTATAATAATACAATTATAAAAAATGAATAA